CCGAATTCCGGTGTATCTGTGATCGGACATGGCCTTGATCTCGATTCCGCCATGGTAACACCCATCCACACACTCGTTGTTGGTCAGCGTCGTCAAGACTATCTGCACTTTTTTCCCAGCCGGCGCCTGAATTGAGTTTTTTTTGATAGAAACAACTAAATGTTGTAACGTTCTCAAAATTTACTCTAATCAAATAGTTGCACATAGCGAAAGCATTCGTTTGGCCCATGCTGGCACTTCCAGCAGCAATCGTTGTCGTCTGAGCGGCCGCCGTGGCCGTCAACGCGGCTCCACAACCGGCTGGCTAAACAACAAAATTAAAAAGAACTCTTGGGATTTTTCTGTTATCCATTCCTGCAATTAGCAAGAAGTGGAACATTTCAAAATTTGATTTTTGGAGTTCAAAGCGTTTGCAGTCAATTTTGGGCCTAATTTTACTTCCCCTCAAAAATTACTTCCTCGTTTTACGACCCCGAAAAAGTCGACCATTTTATATAAATCCCCGACCGCATTCGAAAAATCGAAAGAGAATCTTTGATCTCAAAAAGCATTACTCTTTTGCATTGCTCTCTGGTCTTTTGTGTGCAAAACGAAAAGCATCCAAAGTAAAAACCAATTAGCAAACAAGTTTCCGTATAAGTAGCCAAATAAAAACTCAGTTCAATCTGATTTTAGTTATATAGTTGTTTTTGGTGGTACGAAAGCGGTTGCCAAAATTTCAGATCGAAACAATGTTTAGGAGAAAAGTTGTAAACGAAAAACGAGTGGTTCTATTGGGTTGGGGAGAATGAGTCGGCGCCGAAATTTAAAGAAACTTTTTGCACCCATAAAACCTTCTTTAAATACACGTTTTGTTTCATCAAAATGGTCCACTATTTCTTTACAAAATGGCTTTTGAGAGATTCCACAAAGCTTTTCTTTTTTGGGATTTTATGGATTCCCAAACACAGCTAATCAAAATGACAAAAAGTCCGACTCATTGCTTGAACAGTTTCTTCCACATAAACCTCCTTTGGTGTTTATATAAAAAAGATAGAGCACACTCAATTACATAAGTTACCAAATTTTCAGGAAGATCCCTCCAACCGTTTACTCTAGATGACAGTTTATCGATTTTGTGAAAAAAATGATCCTTTGTTGAGTTGAGGCGCTGTTTGAGTTCTCTTTTAAATATTATTTTGTAGAGAATTAGTTACCCTTCTACGGATATCAAACGCATATCATTTGACAAAGTCTGCTATAAGTTTTAGAAATTTCTTTGATTTTCGGCGCCGACTCATTCTCCCCAACCCAATATACAGGGTGAGCCATCTCGTTTTAGAGCCAAGAGAAAATTTTTTGAAAAACGGTTTAGGGATTTGAAATCGTGATGTAATTTCGGTCTAGAAGACATTTTTTCGCAAAAACAGAACCTTCTCATCGAGTACACAGACCTATTTTCTTAAGAGTTAAAACTTGAAATCCGATTACGACTCGTCAACTTTTTAGAGCCATAAATCTTGCGTTTCAGTTTCAATCAACCTAAAATCTTTCGTCTAGAAAGAGTTTAAAAAATAGAATTCCTTTGACTATTCCTTTCTTTGACTCTTTGCTTGCAAAAGCTTAAATTTAACAAAAACTTGCTAGAATTACAAACTTTTATAAGAATATTTAGAATCGGATAGTTTTTTGTTATCTTAAAAGCTGAATTTGACGACTGAAAGACCAGGTGGTCCTGTAGTTTCTGACAAAGATTGTATATAATATGAATTGCCAGTCATCTTTCTCACCCTAGCCGCACACTGGGTTCCAGCCCAGCCGGAAGGGCAGAGACACTGGTTGCAAGCTCGTGGATTTCTGATCCCACCATTCAAACAAGTAGCCCCGCTCGTGCATTTTGCTAAATAAAGAGGAATTTCAGTGAGATCTTTCAAAAAAGACTTGGGCATCCATAGTGAGCGTTCATCATCACGATTTCGTTGAAAGAGAGAATATAGGAGCCAATGTTGTCTTGGTATGTTGGTGCAAGCTAAATGAGATGACGATAAATAATCTTTAGGCTTTCCTACTGACCTTAGTGAGTGCATAGTATTGATTGGTTGAAGAGAGCTCTCTTCCATCATAGTGCATGATGCTTCCATAATCGTAAGTCTAAAAATCGACAAAGAATTGAGATGCATAGCGCGCGTTTTCAATTTCTTGAAAAACAATGTTTTTTAAGAATACAATTAAACCTGTTTCATGATTTAACCTAGATAATGACCGAATGTATTTCTAGGCCCTTCTACAGGCTGGCTCAAGAGTTCTGTCTACATTAGTCACTATAATAAAACTTGTAAAAGCCTAAGGTGTCTCAAATTTTAATGGTTACACAATGTTTAACTCTATGCCAACCATATAAACCTGTAAATACAAAAAGTATGGTTTCAAAAACGTTTTTTAGTATTATTTCCTGTGAGCTAATATCGTTTTTCAGTTTGTTCGCATGTCAAGTTTCTACAATTCGTTTTCCAAACCAATTCTAGTGTCTTAAAAGGAAATTTTGATAACTTATCTGAAAGAAGAATCATTTTTCTTTAAAACTATCCCTGAAATAGTCAAATTGCTTTTGAAATTATCGATTTTGAGAGTCTCAAACATTGTTAATCGAGCTTAAAAATCGAGGGAGTTCAAGGGAGTTGCGTAAGACTCGATTGAAAAAGCATTAAAACTTCAAAACACAAATTCCTCTTTAAAACAGACATATATAAAAGGTAAAAAATAGTCGAATTTTCTAAATTTGAGTTTCATTTTGCTCTATTTTGATGGGATTTTATTATAAAGACACTTCTATTGATTACAAAACTTTACAAGCACCCTGTATAAGTCACTAACGAGGTTTGACAGTAATTTTTTTAAAAACTAACACCAAAGTTTTTGTTCTATGCCAAGAATTTGGGTTTTTAACTCACCACTCCGTAATTGTGATTGGTCGCAGAGGTTTCCTAAACATGTTTTTTGATCGGATCTCCTATCTATTTGCAAACCTTTGAGAATTGGTCTCTCCATTGGGCGGGGATTCTTGCTAGAATCACATTGAGGAACGTGTCTCGGTCCCATCGTGATTGTGTGTGCCAGAAGCCGAGCGCATGGCCGAGCTCGTGCGCAGCGTGGCCAATCGTTTCACATCCATCGCCGAGCGAGAGATCCTGCACTCCGCCAGTCATTCCCACGTTCGAGTAACAGCCGTCGCCTTTGAAGAAACGAATGCGGTTTCTAGGAGAACATTTCTTGCTTAAAAGATTTTAGATTTTAGATTCTTGAGAAGGATAGAGTAGGGGGATTTCAAAAACGGTTATGTCATTAACTTACTTTGCGGTGGCTGACTGAACAAAGCTGATGCACGTCGCTTTTCTCCATTGATCAATGCCCAACAAAGCGACCTGTTTGGCTCTGGCACTCAGAGCAGCGGCACCAGTGGCAAACGTGTAGTAGACAGTTCGGCCAGCCCAAAGCTCGGCCGGCCACTGAGCCTGACGCTTTTTGCGACCTAAGATTTGCAGGGTGGTCAAGATTTGATCAAGAATTGCACACTATTCTTTTTTCCTACGGCTAACACATACCGTAAATGCTGTATTAGAATGGCATCACTGACCCCTCGAAATCTTGACTTTAGATCCCTTTTGGAAGTTTTATGGATAGATCTAGGTCTAAAACCTACTAATGATTAATCGGCAGCGAAAAATCGAAAAATGTGGGTTGCCCACATGGATTTTTTTTGGAGATTCAAAGGGGGTAAGGAAATAATTTCACTTTTAAACTTTTAAACGTGTTTTTTGTACGTTTTGGATAAAGGGTCATCGTTTAAAATAGTTTTTAACGAATTCTAAATTTCTGATTTATGTGAAACCCCCTTACCTACTTTTTGGATCAGTCGATTTTGAAGAGTTGAAAAATAGAATGACATGCCATTCTAATATAGCATTTACGGTATGTGACTTTCACGAGAAGCAAAAGCTCAATTCAGTTAGGTGAAGTTAAAACAACTTAATTTAAGCGAATTTGAGATATTTCTGATATTTTTCAACTCCTCTTTAGACTGTGTTTCTATTAAAAAATTAATTTATTCAAGTTTTACCTTGATTAGTTTCTAATATTATAAGCCTAAAAGCTCTTTTCTATTTCGAGTTCTTACCAAAAAATTTTTGATTCTCCTGGGTTTGACGCAAGGTCAAATTTTTCAACTTTTAAACTTGTTTTAGCAAATCTGGACTCAAATTCGGATTCTTGATGTATTTTTTAGTCTAAAAAATGTTTTTCGAAAAGATTTTGGCTCGACTTCTCAAAAAAAAGTTCAAAAATGCCATTTTTGACTGTTTTTGGTCACTTTTTCTTTTGAACTTTTTTGAAGCTGTGTGCGCGTGCAAAGCCAAAATCTTTTCGAGAAACACTTTTTAGACTGAAAAATACATGAAGAATCGGAATTTGAGTCCAGATTCGCTTAAAAATGCTTTTTCTATTGCAAGAAACTAATGGAAATATGGTTATTAGCTCTCCATTTTAGAATAACGACTCACTGGCAGCTCCACTGGCAGGCATAACAACATCGATTTGCTTACTGAAGTTTAAAATTATAAAAATTAACAATCGTTTACATGACTCACTTTGTCAGAATCATATCTCCGTGGTAGAGATGTGGGGCCACTCCGGTCTTTGTGTTGATCTAGATTTTGACAAACGATTTTGTGAAGCGAAAACGTTATCTACTTGAGAAATTGTGTCTTCTGCAAGATTGGATTTTGTCTTTGGAACCTAAAAACGAAGCTTGCTAAGGATTTCTCATTAACAAACAATGATTGGCTCATCAACACCAGGTCGGCTCTCAGGGATTTCTTCAGCGGCAGCCGCAGCACGAGCCCGCGCAAGTGCAGCGTCAAATTTGTTAACATCTGTTTCTCCAAGTGACTAAAATAGACTTAAGCTGATTTATTATTATATTCTACGGCTTTAATATCTAATGATATCAATGTCAAACCTGTTTGAATTGATCGATTTGTGCGGCCGTCATGGTACCCCATCCGCTATCTAAAATAATATATATTAAGCGAAATTAAGGAATAATTTGATGTATAATCAACTATATATAAAGCAGAAAAGACGTCTGTCCGTCCGTCTGTCTGTGCGCAGCTATTGGAAAAAAGGAACGGGGCTTAGATTGCGTGGAAAACGTGGATCCTCTCCAGTGAAAAACGCGAACGTTTTCCGCGTTTTCCGCTGGTATTTATTATAAAAAGAAAGCCAAAAAGCTTAACGTTGAGCCTTTTGGTTTTTAGTATAATGAGTAATTGTTTAAGATTGACAAAAATTGCTTTGATAGATTTGTCTGTAGAAAAGCATTACCGGAAGCGGCGATGCTTGCGAGAAAAGCCACAACCAGAATCATTTGCTGCATCTAAAAAGAAATGATTAAAACTAGTTTATATGAAGCTGTAACTTAATTCAGGTCTGTAAACACTCGGTTTTTAGTTTATTTGGTTTCCCGTCAACTCCGAGCAAAACCAAAATGTTTAAATGTGGTTTCTAGCTTTCCTTGCCAGTTTTCGTCAAATTTCAAAAAACTAACACTATTCCTTATTCTTTTAAACTCATTTCTCTGTTCCTAAATAAGTTTTCACTTTTCCTCATTAAATTACTCAAGAATTGTGCCAACATGTTTGTTATCACAATCAAATTCTGATTCTGATTCTGAGATTCTGAGATTCTGAATAAGCCATTTACGGGATTCGTTTGTTCACTAGATTCAAATTAAATTCTCTATTTGGGGGTCTTGTCTTACAAATTGCTATTGTTTGACTATGCTCTTATAAGTTTTTCTAAGCTTAGCCCATTTGATAAACTCACTTTTACTAAAGGAGTTTCCTTATGGCCGAAAAGCGAAAGCGAATAGAAATGGGTTGAGTTAAACTAAATTTTTCATATCCATCTGGGTATTTATATGTAATGTTTTTGCTAATTGGTCTCTACTTTGGTGTTTTAGATTTTGCACACAAAAAGAACAATCGAAATGCTCTTTGAGGTTTAAAATCTCTTTCGGTATGGCCGGTTTTTTGAACGGTTGGGGATTTTACATCCAATGGTCGACTTTTTCTGGGTTCTATAACGAGGAAGTAATTTTTGGAGAGAAAATCAAATTAAAAGCCCAAAATTGACTGCAAAAGCTTTAAACTCTGAACGTCAAGTGGCGAAATATGTCGTGGACACGCTTTTTGCGAGATTTCGACTCCCAAACTTGGCGAAGTTGACAAAGGACATCAACTTTGAGAGGGCTTTTCGAAAATTTCTGAAGTGGAACATCTCATATTTGATTTTTGGAGTTCGTTTGCAATCAATTTTGGGCTTCTAATTTTACTCCCCCTCAAAATTACTTTTACGTTTTATGACCCCCGAAAAAGTCGACCATTTCATATAAATCCCCGACCGCATTCGAAAAATCGAAAGAGAATCTTTGATCTCAAAAAAGACATTCTCTTTTGCATTGCTCTCTGGTCTTTGTGTGCAAAACGAAAAGCATCCAAAGTAAAAACCAAATAGCAAACAAGTTCCCGCATAAATAGCCAAATAAAAACTCAGTTCAATCTGATTTTAGTTATATAGTTGTTTTTGGTGGTACGAAAGCGGTTGCCAAAATTTCAGATCGAAACAATGTTTAGGAGAAAAGTTGTAAACGAAAAACGAGTGGTTCTATGCAGGGTGACAGCAGAGGTGGAGCCAGCATCGTTTAGAGCCAAGAGAAATTTTTTGAAAAAACGGTTTAGAGATTTGAAATCTAATAATAATATCGATTGGAAAATTTATCTATCTAAAACAAAAGTAAAAGAGCACCTTTTAGAAACCCTGCCATATTTAAATCTTTACAACTCCAACCATGCAAAGAAATCTTCAATAAAAGCTTCCCATAAACCCTTTCTGATATTAGAAAAGTGCTTTTTTTGCCCTTAATCCCGAACGCGCTTATTTGAAAATGGTTTTGTAAAAAACAATTAAGTACAGTCATTAGTTAGGAATAGTTAATAACTGAAATTAAGTGGATTAGCTACTTAGGATTAGCCACTTAAATTAAGTGGATTAGCTCAAAGGTCCTAGGCTAGACGAGAATGATCTTATTCTAGGCCTAAAAAGTCTCTGGATCCGACGAAAGTCAGGCTTAGATATGACTTTTGACTCTTTCTAGCCTTTCCTTGTACGACTCTAGTTTCTAATCCGAAGCTTAAACCTCTTTTTTTCCTTGTCTAGCTGGTTAGGAGATCCTAGAGTCGGGACAAAACAGAAATTGGCCGAGGAGGGGATTGAACCAGAATCCTTTCTTGATTCACCCTCAAAAGCGTCAAGCCTGTTTTTTTGGTAAATCCCAGATAGAACTATTTGTTTATCATATGACTCAAGTGATCACAATCAAACTGATTCCTGTTTATGTTCTCTGTTCTTTGGCATGAGAAAATACCTCAATTTTTTGTGTTTATTGTTTCCTTGTCGAGGTCAAAAGTTTGTATGTTTTTGAAAAGATCAACAGTAACTGTTTATGTCTTGGATTAGTCATTTTATATAGAGTTCAAAGGATAAAGTCGCTTAAAAAAATTTTACAATCCTTTCAGTCTAACTCCAATCAGTTTCAGCCGATCTGCCAAATAAAACAACGTTGGCTTCGGCTAGTTGAAGCCAACGTTGTTTGATCCTGGCTGGGGTCCTTTTTTTGGGTTTTTTGTTAACACCCTCTCAATAAAGCTGTTTCTGGTGTTCTGTCTACTGAGATTAGAGCAGTTTACGAAGCCAATTCAAATTGAAATTTCGCGCGTCGGGGTTTTTCGGTTATCGAACACGAATCTGCTTGATAAAGGCTTAGGTTTTTACAAACATTTTATTTCATTTTAAATTAGTTTGTCCACACTACCTCAAAAAAACAGTTTGTGTTTTTAGAAAAGCTAATTTTTGAACAAATTAGGTGGCATAGACTCGGAAAAAACTTGGAAAATAACTTGGAAAATTGTAGCTTCGCATGGGAATGTGAAACAGAAATTTTGAGATAAGAACCATTTATTTAAATTAAGATTTGTAAATGTTTTCTTCCAGCACTTGCAGATATTCTAAAGTATGGGAATTTCGAGACTTCTTTATTGTCTTGTTATTGTCGACAGCTCTCATGGGACTTTATCTAGGATTGATGAACAGTGTCGATAAAGGTGAATGGCCATTGTTGGCTAATCCACCAGATATCGATTTTGATACAGTATGGACAATCAATATAATCATTGCCGAAATGGAAATTGGGGTAACGGAGTACAGCACAAGAAAAATAGGCTTCTTGACTTTAGGTTATGACTTTAAGCCTTTTCATTACACCGATCGCTTTCTACTATTCAATCACAAATAATCACTTATCACTGCCGATTCGGTTTGTTTTAGAAATTATCAGAGTATAAAGAAAATAATGCGCTTCGAATTTCCGAGGCTGACAATTTGCCAAGTATTTATCTACGTAATGCTTTGAACAAAAATAAACTACACACCCACTAGATTTATAATCATTTCCCCCATCACTTCGCTAGTGGTTTTTACTGGAAAAAAAATGGATGACAACAAGCTCGTGCTTCGAGCTGCCATGCTCTATGATTTCCAACGAGGAAAAATCCCTGCTGAATCTCAGTGTTCACTTGTCAAAGCTTTCGGAGATGATTGTATAAGTGAAAGGCAGTGTCGTCGATGGCTTCAGCGTTTTCGAGATGGCAACCAATCCCTTTCGAATTTCACCATAAACAGAGCATGATGCCGCATAATAATGCTTCGATCCATGGATATCGGACTTGGGGGTGGTTTACGGGGGCTTCACCAGTAAAGAGCCATTGATTTTTCAAGTGACATTGTCATAACGGATCCAAGTTCCATCAGAAGGCAAGATTCTATCACAAAAATCTTGTGATTTGCACCTTTGAAGCAAGATGGAGCTATACGGTGCACACGAGCTATTTTGTTACCTTGGGTCAGCTCATTATGGAACCCATTTTCCATGTCGAACCTTTTTCTCAAGTTGATGCAAATGTGAAATGTCTCAATGTGAAAACAAAGATCTTCTCGGTGGTAAAAGATGAATTTTGAAAAGAACACACACATTTGGATCTGCATCGTTTGGATTTGGATATTTATTTTGTTTCTTTTCCGAGAAAGTCGTTTAGTATAACGGCCAATGTGTGATGATTTTTATTAAACATAAAATTAAATTTATGGGCTTTACAAGTTTTTTTTTATGAAAAGTGTTGCTTGGCCAGATTATAGATGATTATAGATAGGTCAAAAATAGATTTTATTATAGATAGATTTAAAAATAATAGATTTAAAAGTAGATTCTATTTTATTTGATTCGATTTTAACCGATCAAAACTTTACTATCGTTTTTGGTGCACAAGCCCAGTCATCGGGCTTTGGTTGACGGCATGTTTGTCCACATCCGGGCAATAGCCGTACTTTATCGTTCTATTCAACTGAACGAGTTCAATGTTTATTTAATATTTTGTGTCTTGGACATCTACAGTCATGCGCAAAAGTATTGGCCCCTCCCATTGTTCAAATTTAAAACGCAAAAAGTTCACTTTGTTAAATGATTCAAGAAAACTTTCAATGGTTGTTATACAGTATTTTAGTTCTAGTTTTCAAAAAGTGTAACAACACCGCATTTAGTGCGAACAACAATATAAAAAAAGCATGCAAGGAGAAAATGACGCAAAAATGTGTGCAAAATATTGGCCCTGAAGTGAAAACTGAAATATTTAATATTTCTGTCGGGCCTCCCTTGGCTGAAATCACTGCTTGAATCCTTGGCATGCTATCGACCCAATCGACCAAGATTTGTAAAGAAATTTCATTTCGATTTCATCCCAAGCTTTCTGAAGGGATTTCTTAAGTGAATCGAGCCCCTAAGCTTTCATTTTGAGATGTTTTTTCACTATCCGACCCATTCCACCTCATCCGACCCATTCCACCAAATCCCTTGCTATTTTCCTCTGAGAACGGGTGTTCTTGTATCAGAAGCGGTCACGCACTCTCTTGATGTTACTCGGCGTCGTTATTGTAATCTTTCTTTCACGTCCCGCTCGATCAGAATTTGTGCTTTGAAACGATTGACTGTATCGTAAAAGAATTGATTTTAGAGTCATTAATTGTCGAGAAATATCAAAGTGGAGCGATTTCCTTTTGATGCAGGTTGATGATCGACTCTCTATGTATCGATTTCTGGATCATTCTAAAATTTTGCTTATTAGTACATATAAAACATACGGAAAACAATCAACAACCATGGAATCAATAGAAAAATATAAAACGATTACAAATAATTTGTTACGCAGGCAAAACTACTGCCGAAGATCATGTACCCTATTCCGGGTAATCTTGGGACACCCTGTATATAAACCCTTCTGTGATTTAACAAACCATTTTGCCTGAACCAAGGGGATGGAAATACATCTCATCCCGAACTGCCACGAAAAAAAAAAGATGGTAAGATAAGAGAAAAGAGAGCAATGACGAAAGCGGAGCCGCTTGCACAAGAAAATTCTTACTGATTCATTTGCCGCCACTTTCCAAAAACAATGTACCACTTTAGCATTAACTTATTACCCCTAATTCTTCACGATTCCCTTTACGAACATGTAAATATTCTCGATTCATTGAAATTCATGAAAGTTTCTCGAAAGTCTCATCGAAGGATTTTAATGGAAGGACCGTTTGGGAAAAATATTGGCAGTATGACGATTAAAGGAATTTTTGCAAGAAATCAAACGGGAAATCTGTTTATTCCAGACTTGAGTATTCTCATTGAGCCACGTAATTCTCTCGATTACAAAGAAAAAATAAATTTCATCACGAAAAATTCCCGTCTTCTGCAATTCTGCTGGGGGCAGGCCTTCGAATCAAAACAAAAACTGGCAGCTATTTTGAAAAAGATTCGTTTTTGTAAATGTTTGAAGCTTGATTTTTTTGAGAAAACCAATGTTGAGCGGGGTGCGGGAGACAAATGTCGACTCAACTTTTTGCCAAACATTACAAAATTGTGAGGAATTTTTCGATCGCAATCAACAAACTACCGACTTTTTTCGTGATTATGGCGAATTTCCGATCGACGGTTTGTCAAAATTCTCAATAAATGCAAGGAGTACTTCGATTTTTTTGGTGAATCGGCTCAAATGGAGGGAGAAGAGGTGTTTTCACGAATTATTTCAAAAGCCACAGATCCGTGATTTCTGTCCAATTTTCGCCTGTACACCGGTGGAAACATTTTGGAGATCGATGTCAACAATCAAACCTAAAATTTTGTTAGCAAAAAGGGTAACTTGGATATATTTCGAAGAGTCTCTAAATCTCGTGCTAGAGAATCGAATTGACAAAGATGATAAGACGATAGTTTCCGGCGTTTGTTGGTGGAAATCAACAAAGTGGAAAAGGACTCCGGACTAGTAGATCTGATAAAGCAGAAAACTCTTGAGAAGGTATTCCTTTATCGGGAAGTGAAAGCTCGAACGTTGAAGGGAAGAAAACTATTCAAACAGCTGAATGCCTGAATGCCGGAGAAAAATATTGAAGTTCTATCTGACGACTTCCCCGGAGATCACCTTCAGAAAAGACTCCCTTCGAAAACGATCACTTTTTCAAGCATGATAGCTTTCTTTTCAAGTCATATTTTACTTTTTGTGGCGGCTCCTTGGGCACATTGTTGAAGTAAATAATAAAAGTTTAAAGTGACATGTGAATTTATAAAGATATCCATGCTCTTTTTTTGAGTTCTTTTGATGTCTCAAGTCAGGCCCGTAGACAGGATTTTGGTGTTTTTGGGAGAATCGCTAGAGCTTCGTCCAGAAGCGACGAATCAATTTACACCCAAAGCTGAAAATTTAACAAAATCTTCAGGCTACATCATGGCTACAATGAAATTTTTCTAAAATGAAATTTTGCATTTTTGTGAGAAAATTTAGGGGGGGGGGGGGGGTTGAGGTTTTAGACCTTTAGCCGTTATCCAGGAAATTTCTAACCACCGCCAATCGATTCTCCGTGTTGGTTTACATAGGACAAGTGAGTTACAAATCTGATTTAATGCTTGTGGAGCGAGCTAGAGGGGTTCAAAGTCAGGTTGTCACGACTATTTTGCGCCTCTGCCCAACTTTGAGCCCCTCTAGCTCTGAGAGCGAATGAATGACATTCATGGAGATAAATATCCAAAAACTCGTTAAACATCACAGATCGCAAAAATAGAAACAACACAGTAATTTTATGTTTAGTTGTGCAAAATCTGGTCATGCGATCTTCAAAGATCAAGTACATTCAATAATGAGTAGTTACGTTGGAAAGCAATTTGGAAGTTATGGCTTTTCGGGTTGGTTCCGTCTAGGACAGGAAAAACGTTTCCATTTTTGTCCACAATAATGTCTCTCGTTGAAACAATTAAGATTTATTCGGAAGCCTTTATTGTTTTGTTATGGATCGTCTTTCTATTGGGTTTGTTGGGTTTTTTCTTAAAGTAATCCCCCTAACAACACCGTTCAAATAGAAGTTCAACACTTGACCAAATTCATAAATTAAATACAACAATGAGCTTTTCCTTAAACCCTTGCCTTTCTGACTCAATTTGGCCATAGACTCCATAAAAAGGAATATTTCCAAGCGATTTCCCGACTCCGGAATCCCCCGGGTACAAATTTACAGCTCAATATCTTCTTTTTTGTAACATTTACAATGCAAAAGAAAAATCCCTGTCTAAATGACTGGCGAGGTGTTCTTTGTACGGCTGCGTAAGCGCTCTCCATCTGGCAAATCGCTTTGGTGTATAAAGTGCTTTGAAAATGTCATCAAAAATTATATTACTACAACCACCGCTGACAATTTGGTTCTAGTGAAAATCAGTCCTAATTCAGACTTCTCCATTAAAGTAATATGGGTGTTTGCTGTGGATCAGTAATATAAATAGTATCAATGTTTCTTTCTTGAAATGAGCAAATAACATTTAAACAGGACTCAACGGTTTGCTGACATTCATCGCGGATTTGAACTGGTCAATCTACGACCTCTTGCTGGAATGGAAGATCATCTCCGATAGCTCACCGCCCGACTTTGATCTTGAATTTCTTTTCAAACTCATTTCTGTCATCGAAAGTGTTACAAAATGGGTATTTTCTGAAAAGAAAAATATATCAGAACCTTCAATCAGATCATTTTTGCCTCGGTTTTCCCAACTACAGTAGCGACTTGTTTCGCGGCGACGAACAAGCGGTTAACATGGCCAATTCGGTTTGTTGCATGTATTCTTAACTTGAAATAACCCCAAACTCAAAGCTAAAGTTGCTCTTTAGTCTTACCTTGTAACAATTTCCAAGATTTTGTGCGTAGTACCAGGTAGGTGGGCAAGTTGGAGCTGGAGGGGCTGATGGTTGAACAGGAGCTGGGGTTGATGCTTGTCCTTGATTTCCACCAAGAGAGATTTTGCACACAGCGTTTACGAATTTGGCAGTGCATGGAATATCATCCCATTGTTTATATTCGTTGATTGGGTGGATGGCTGTCGAATTAGTTGACCACAACTATAGGAATTTGTTTTTACAGTCGTTAGCTTGATAAAATACTTGAAGACATTGTTTTGCATCATCAGTCTTGGCAAAGTTCTTGTAGTCAAATGGAGTTCCATCGCTCCAAGTCCATGTCCCATTTGGCTAGAATAGTCATGGTGTTTACTTGAGTCAGACTGATTTTTTTTCTTACTCTATATCCACCAATGAGTGTCTGGAGTCGGGTGACTGTTCCAGGCATGGCTCCAAGTTCTAGAAAAGATAGTTCTGGATTGAATTTATCATATCAGTCAAAGAATCAAAGAATTTAAATCCAAACCAAGGACAATCCGATCTTCCTCAGCTGAGTGAATCGAAGTCAATTGGCCGCCAGCAGATTTGCATGTTGCATCAGCTTCAGCAAAAGTGAAACCACCAGGTTGAGTCACGGCCTATTTAGTCATTGGAAAGTGAATCATTACTAGTCAAACTTTGTAGCAATTGTTAAGCGTTTGTGAGTAGTACCATCCATCTGGACAAGTTGCGTCAGAGCATTCGTCAGTCTAAGCAATCTCATCAGTAAAACTATCAAAGCAAGACTTTGAAAGGTTTTGAGAACTCAAGTAAACTTTAAAGATAAGCCAGCTGAGCAACTTACCGCGAATACCCCAACGAGAAGACCCGTTAAGAATAGAAAGCGTTTGAGCATGTTATGAGTGTTCAAGTTTGGCTTCAGAAAACTGTACTCTTTACACTTCAAATCTTCCTTTTATATGGATGAACTGACAGCTCGGTAAACATTAAAAATGAAAACTTTTTGGAATTCAGAAACAAAAAGGTGTCATTTAAGCAGAATTTGGCAAAATCACATCGTTATTTCAATTGAAGAAAAGCTATTTTAGTGATCAGAATTTAATAGTTAGAGTTGTTATTGATTTTGAGTAACTTTTGAGTCGTCACACGATCAGTGCAATATGGAATGATTAGTTACAGCAATCAGGGTTCACTTTATCTTTAGAATATGGGTTTAAAAATTTTAAATGTTTGAATTATCCGATTCATGCAATTCCGCCTTAAACCAGTTCAAAATTTGTTTTGTGAGTAGAAACGTAGAAAGAATAAGTAGAAACGACTTTTGCACTTTCCCACCTTGCCCATTAAACAACTTTTTATAATGGAACTGTTTTCCGAGAAAACCTCGATATTTTCCAGAACAAGGAAAGAAATTGTCATAACAATTTCTATTCAACTCATAATGGTAAAATCCACTGATAAACCAGTGGATTTTACCTTATAAAGTAACTAAGGACAAGATCCACCGGTTTTCCAGTGGATTTCACCTTATAAAGCGACTCTCGGTTCGGGCAAACATCCACTAGGAGAAATTATCATTTACAGTTGGCTAAGGTTTTCTGATATCTTTCTTGTTATGCTAATATTTATTGTCGGTACTTTTACATTTTAATTTGCGTGCACATCCTGTGCAAAAATTCTAATCTCTGACCAAAATCTACCCTAGGAAGTTGATTTTTTAGCAAAAAACACTGTGTCAGAGTCCAAAACTTAAAACGTGGCAGAGTACATGGCCCGATATTGAAAAACCATCAAAATTGTGCCTAGCTTTGTTGAAAATTTACCTATTCTTAGACTCAAAAAATGAGGGTCGAACGTTTTTTTGTGAGATTTGTACTGAAAGAGGTCCCTATGTGTAGCTCAAAACGAAATCCGTTTCCATTTTACCAATTTGTGAATTTTTAAAGCCTGTTGTTGTTCTGTTGAAGAGATGTTGTTATTGTGTTCACAAGAGAAGCTTTTTGCCCGAAAATCTTTCAAAAGAAGAGCCAGGAGGTTTTCCTCTTGACTAGGCAAAGTTTGGTTTACTTGGAACTTGCCTTTTATTTTGATAAACTCCTAATCAGAATGAAACGAGTTAGAAATAAAACTTGGCTTTAAACAATGAAATTTTGAGCTTGCAATAAAAAACATTTCATGTGATCGATTCCCATCGATTTCAAGAACTATTGTACTCAACCATCTTCTCCAATGTTTTTTTTTCTTTTAAGTTTGAGTTCTAAATTTTTCACAATTTCTAGACTTTTACTAAGTTTACTATGATATTTGGGAATAGCTCTTTAAAATTCTTTCCTATTTTTCTCAAAAATTTTGTTTATAATTCAGATGACTAGGAAAAGAAAGTCATCTTCAGGAAAGAGATTGACATCTCAAAATTCTTGTCGATTTCAACCTATAAACCAACTAAGGACAAAATCCACCGGTTTTCCAGTGGCTTTTAACTTGTAAAGCAACTAAGGGCAAAATCCACTGGTTTTTCAGTGGACTTCACCCTATAAATCAACCAAGGACAAAATCCACTGGAAAACCAGTGGATTTTACTTTATAAAGAAACTAAAGGCAAAATCCACTGATAAACCAGTGGATTTTAACTTGTAAAGCAACTATCGGTTCGGGCAAACATCCACTAGGAGAAATTATCATTTACAGTTGGCTAAGGTTTTCTAATAAATCTTTCTTGTTATGCTAATATTTATTGTCGGTTCTTTTACATTTTAATTTGTGTGCACATCCTTTAGTCATCGTCTCTCCCATTGGCGCATTTATCCACATCTGTGCAATACCGCGGACCCTTCCCTTCGGTATTCGACCAGCAGCAAACCTTTTCCTGCGGGCAAAATTGCTCTTCTCCGCGACATTTTCGCGGAAAACCTTTCTAAATTATCTTTTCACTTTTCATTTACCAATACAATTCGTATTTATCATTTGAAGAACTCAAAAAACATACCAAAGCCATTGAAGTGACAACAAAGGAAATCAAAAAGAGTAAGAAAAAGAGTTTCATCGTTTTTTTGACAAAGTGTTTGTCTATTTTCAGTCTATTTATAGGGGAAAATGATTCAAACTTCTGTTTTTAGGAAAAGAACCCTCATGGGACTCCATAGTACCATTTAACTAATATTATTTGACAAAGCTGACTCATAGTTTTGTCTAAAAGCGAGAAAACGTTCAACAAAAATAGTTGACAAGTCCTTTTTCATGACATTCAACCGAAAAAAATAGATTGACGACGCTTTCATCATCTCAAAAGCACTTTGAGGCTTTTTAAACGTGTCATGCAAGTCCTTATTGTTGACAAAAGCTTGAAGGCATCATGGTCATTGCACCCTACTTTTATAAGCTAACACATTTATATTTATAGCTTTTATAAGCTATTAGATTTGCGACAGAGCCATTTTTAGCTATCTGGTGAAAAATGAAAGCCCTCGGATGCAAATTTCCAAACTAATCAGTAAATTCAAATGCTCAAAACAGTGTTTGGGCCATGCTTGCTTTTCAACTCTATATTGATCTTTCCCATTTCCAATCTTAGAATTAAAATTGCTTATAGTGACCAGCTCAAATCGAAGAGTTTCATCGTTTTTGACTGCTCGACTTCACACCTTAAAAAAATCAACTAACGCGAGTTTTTAAGAATTTCTTAAAAAGCAATTTGTAAATAAATAGGATTTCCGATAAAACAAATCATAGATCAATTGGTTTATTATTCATTTTTAAAAAGTAACCTTTAAAAAAGCAGACAAGACTTTGCGATCAATCTGGTAATCTTTCTATTTCGATTAAGCAAACAATAGCTTTGCTTTTGTAACGTATGAAAACTGTATTCATTTTGAACAAGTGCAAAAAGAGAAAAGAAACATGATCAGCGTGCACAAAAACGACTTTAAACTATCCAAAAAAGTTTCGATCATAAAATGCAAAGAGTCATAAATAGGCTATGTACATCCCTCGAGTAATGCCTATTTCTAAAAGGCACCTATTTCACGAATATAAGCAACCAATCAGTTTTGACCAATCACTTCAATTTTGGTGTCATTGCCTGAGCATTGAAATTCCTCATTCATTGATACGAAAGTTGAGATGATTGAGTCAAAACTGATTGATTACGACAGTTGCGTAAAATAGGTACCTTTCAGAAAGTGCATTACTCGAAGTGTACACACTCTATTCATAACACACAGCTGACTTGCTATGAGAAAAATAAAATGTAATGTTTCCGTCAACATTCTAATATGTGTCAACAACACGCCATTCTTGGTTCATAATGGGAAAATCTGGCTTCAGGCTTCAAAAAAGCACGAACTCGTATCAAACCCTTGTAATCCTTGACGAATTTTTCATATTTTGCTCGATTTTTTTCTTGGTGAAAGACCTGAAATTTTGAGATTATTAATCTGGTCGTATCTTTTGTGTTTAGCATATTTACGGTAGTTTTCTTTTTGTTTTCTCCTTGTAAACTGTTCTTCGCTCACCTGAAATTTTGCTTTTTGTCTGTCGAGAAAGTGATCGAAGATGACACGATGAATGTAGAGATATTGCTGAAGATTCACTTAGGTTTTTTTATGAAAAAATTAAATGTAATCAGAGTTTTTAATCCGATTAACTCATTAAATAAATAAAATGAGCGCTGTTCACGCTTGAATTCTGATTAAGAAATCCTCAAAAGTTAGATGATTGGGTTAATAGAAACCTATAAACCAATTAACGTTTTGCTTTTAGGTAAGTCAGATTCTAATTTAAAAATAGACCAAAAAATGAAAAACAGCTCAAAATTGAAACCTCGCAAGATTTTTGAAAACTTAGAAACACGACCATCTAACCCAACTAACCAAATCGAAGAGAATCGACCACAGCCGGTATGATCGAAGTTCTTTCATTAGATCGCACATTGGAGGGATTCCGGTTTTCAGGTTGCTGCATTCCAATAAATATCTAAAAGTGAAATGATAAATTCATGCGCTGATTTAATACTTTCACTCACTCGATAGCCACCAAAATCGACGTTCTTCCCGTCCCACCACCACAATGCATCACGATCGGTTTTTGTGAACCGCGAATTTGGGAAAGTAGTTCCTGAATCACTCAAAAACTATGCAGATTAAGTAGATAAAGTGCTTTTCAGGTTTTTTAGCAATCAATCATCAATAAATACCTTAAAATCACCACAAGCCATCTTGAAAAAACAGAATAGCTTTCTTACAATAGAAACTAGACTTTCATAACGAGACAGATCAGAAAATTGCTAGGCACTTGATCTAGCCTCCAGCGTATCGGATTCGAATAAACCTTTTTATTTAAAAGTCAAGATTTTAAGCTATCTAATGATATTCATTACTAATGTTTTTCTTTTGAAAAGGTAAGTCAAAAACCTTATTGAGACTTAACAAGACAATTCCTCGTTATCCGTTA